GCCGCAACCCCGACCACCTCTCCTTTGAGTGTCCCGACCGCAGCGAATCCGACGACGACGACGCCAAGGGAGGCCGTGGGAGGTCGGCCAGCCGTCGTCCACGTCGAGGCAACCAGCCGCGCAAGGAGAAGCAGTCGACCAAGTCGTCGACCTCGGCGAAAAACGCCGACTCCTCTGCTGGCGGCAAGGGGCAGGACGACAAGTCGGCGTCGTGCTCTCTGGTCGGCGTCGTGGAGCCGACCGTCTCGCTGGCGCCGGAGGCCGGCGAGGACTTCCAGGCGGTGGCGGCAGCTGTGCAGGCGAACCCGGCGGTGGTCCTGCTCGACAGTGGCTGCTCGCACCACCTAATGAGGACGAAGGACGCCTTCGTCGACTTGGGGCCGAGCGGCGACGTGAAGCACGTGCGTGGCTTCAATGGGGCGCTGCAAGACATCCAGGGCCGGGGCATGGTTGCGCTGCAAGGGGAGGCCAGGAAGAAGGTACTCATCCCCGACGTGCTGTACGTCCCGGGTGTGCGGGCCAACCTGCTATCGTCCGGCCAGCTGAAGGAGCATGGCGTGAAGCTGCAGGACGATGGCGACGGGATGCTGCTCGTCTCGGCGACGGGCGACGTGCTTGGTCGAGCAACGTATTCCGGCCGGGTCCTCTGCACCGACTTACGTCCCTGCTCGGCGACGAACGCCAACGAAGTGGTGGCTCTGCGGGCGAAGTCGACGCCGGACAGGATGCATGCGAGGCTTGCACACGTCGGCATGGACACCATCCTGCGCTCGGCGAAGCACGAGGTCGCCACCGGGCTGGACCTCAAGTCGGCGTCCGGCGCCGACTCACCGTGTGTCTCGTGTGTCGGCGGGAAGCTGGCGCGGCACACCTTCCCAGGGCTCCGACGCCGACGACGTGCGGGCTGTCGTCCACATCGACCTGTGTGGGCCATTCCGGGTGGCTGCCAAGGACGGCAGCTTGTACTTCTTGCTGCTGAAGGACCGTAAGTCCCGCTACGTGTGGGTGCGGCCGGTCGCCAAGAAGTCGGACGTGCTGCTGGAGTTCCAGAAGTGGCTGGTGCTGGTGGAGCGGCAGACGAAGAAGTCGGTGTTGCAGCTGCGCTCTGACCGAGGAGGGGAGTTCCTCGGGAAGACGTTCACTGACTTCGTGGACGGCAAGGGGATCGTCCACGACTTGACCTGCCCCTACACCCCGCAGCAGAACGGCATGGCGGAGCGGGAGATGCGGACGGTGGTCGAGTCGGTGCGGACGATGCTGCTGCACATGGGTGTGCAGCAGCACTGGTGGCATCTCGCTCTGAAGCATGCAGTCTGGGTCCGCAACTGCCTGGAGCGGTCGGCCACGCCGGGGACGACGCCGTACCAGCTGCTGACCGGGACGAAGCCCGACTTGTCGCTGGCGCGCGTGTGGGGCTGCATGGCGCAGTTCCTCGTCCCCGAGCAGCAGCGTGGTGGCAAGCTGAAGCTGAAGGCCAAGTGGGGCCTTCACCTCGGCGTGTCGGAGGCGAGCAAGGGCTGGGAGCTCCTCGACATTGCCGACAACCGGGTGGTCACCACGTCGGACGTGGTGTTCTACGAGGACATGTCGCTGGAGGAGTGGAAGTCGGCGCACGGGCCGATGTCAGAACGGATGCCGACCACCTCGCCCGCCGACCGACACCTCGACGGCGACGCTGCCTTTGCTCGCCGAGGTCGGTGAGCTTCCTGCTGAAGATGACGGGGTCGTCCTTTCTCCTTCCCCTACCCCTCACCTTGTTGTTGACCTGCGTGGGCTACCTCCGGTGTCGGCCTCCGGCGATGAGGGGAGCAGTGGGGCGTCGCCTGTGGCGCCGACCAAGAGCATCGCCGGTGGCCGACGTGACGCCCAGCAAGTCGGCTTGGGCGTGAAGTCGACAACGGGGCCGCTGGGGAAGCAGCAAGCTGAGCAGACGCCGCCGACAGGGGAGCAGGCAGCAACAAGGCCGACCAAGGAGCAGTCGGCGACCTGGCAGTCGGCAGGGGAGCTGACCGCAGGGGAGAAATCGGTCGGGGCGCCGAATGAGGTGCAGCAGGACGACAAGGACTGCGGAGCCGGACAGGATGAAGGGGAGCAGTTGGGCGACGAGGAGTCCGACGATGAGTCCACCGCCTGTGGCGAGGTGGGGGCTCCGCCTGAACCCCGGAAGTTCGCGGCGACGACGACGAGGCCGGACATCGCCTTCGCCTGCAGCAAGCTGGGGAGCGGCCTCACGGTGAGGAGCGACCAGCACTGGCGCGAGGTCGACCGCTGCCTCGCCTACCTCGCCAACACTCGTGACACCGCCTTGGAGTTCGGCGGTGGACCTGAGTCGCTAGAGCTGGTCGGCTACGTGGGCGTCGACGACGCCGGTGACAAGCAGAACAGGACGAGCACGGGTGGCTACGTGTTCGTCTACGGAGGGGCCGCGGTCTCCTGGTCGAGCCAGCGCATCAAGTGCGCGACGTTGTCGTCGACCGAGTCGGAGTACGTGGCGGCCGTCGAAGCCGGCAAGGAGGGACGCCGACTTCGCTTCCTCCTCGCAGAGTTCCGGCAGCTGGACGCCGGGAAGCCGACTGTCCTCAGGGTGGACAACAAGTCGGCCATCACAGTCGCCGAGGGCATGGGGTTGACGGGCAACCTCAAGCACATGGAGCGGCGACAGGCCTGGCTGCAGCACATGGTGAAGCGGGGGAAGTTTTCGCTGCAGTACATCCCGACCGCTGAGCAGCCGGCCGACTTCATGACGAAGGCGCTGCACTATCCGGCCTTCAACCGGTGCTCCGTTGCAATCGGCCGAGTACGTCTGGCCGACGTGGGCGACGGCGACAACGACATGCAGCAGTAGGTGCCATGCCCTCTTGCATGGCTGGTGCGGTGGACGACGTGCTGTGTGTTGGGTGCACGTCGACGAGCTTTTCTCCGAGAAGTACTGCCGTGTGGGCTGGGGGCCCAAGCGTGAACGCGGCAGGGGAGTGTCAACGGGAGTTGTGTGTTGGCCCCGTCCTCGCTTGGGCGGAGCCGACTTCGTGGTCGAGTGTAGGGGTGCAGCCGACCTGCAGCAGTGGGCGAGCTGGTCGACGAGGTTGGTCGACCTGCACGGGGAGCCACTGCATGGGCGCCGACTTCGGAAGGCGCTAACTTTGGGTGGTCGACCTGGGAAGTCGACCTGCAAAAGGCGTCGACCTGGTGACGCCATCTTGGGGCAGCCGACTTGGGTGGTCGGCTAACAGTGTTGCTGGTCGACTTGGTTGGTCGACCAGACCTGCTGGTCGACTTGGTTGGTCGACCAGGCCTGCTGGTCGACTTGGTGGCTGGTCGACCAGGCGTGAGGTCGACCTGGTGGTCGACCAAACATGATGGTCGACGAGGAGCTGGTCGACCAGGAGTGACGTCGACTTGGAGCTGGTCGACCAGGGGTAGTGGTCGACCTGGTGAGGTCGACCGGAGGTGGCCGTCGACTTGGGAGGTCGACGGGCACGCACAGGAGCAGCTGGTCGACGTGGTTGCCCAGTCGACCAGGTTACCTGGGTGACGAGGGTCTACGAAGGCGCGCGAGAGTCACTCAAGCGATGTTGGCGAAGGCGACCTCGGTATTCGGTATCCCGAGGTCGACGTGGCTGATCAGAAGCAGTCGTCAGCACGAAGTTGACTTAGTGTGTGCGTGACAAGGCACTGCACGCCAATCATCTGCGCGCACCTGCGAAGCGGGTGCGATGCTGTACTGCGGGAGCAACGCTGGCACGCCGTCGACTTGCGCTGTTGTCACACCGTCGACCTGCAGCGTTGGCAGGCCGCGTCTCTGCACTGCTGGAGCGCGGTCGACCAAGTCGTGCTGGCACGCGGTCGACCATGCTGCGCTGGCAGTAGACTTGCTTGCATGCTAGCTCTGATGTAGTCCTACCTTGCCAACTTCATTGTATCATTGTTGTGAACTTTTCCTAGTGGAACTCTTGCCAATTCTTCCTGTGAACTAGCAAGTAGTGTACGCACAAGGAAACAACTAAGGATCAAACGCTGAGATCACACGAGCTTCCGTGCCTAGCCCGTAGTCTAGATCCCGTTGCTAAAGTAATCTCCGCAGCAACTGTTGCGAGCGTGTGGCAGCGCACTGTTGCGCAAGGACACAAGGCCCATGATCGCAACAGACAGCGCACGTCGAAAAAAATCGGTCGTGCCATGATTGCGCCGGCAGGGGCGTGTGTGGGTTTTGGGAGGGGCTGTGGGATTTTGAGGGGTGCTTGGGTTTGACTCGAGATTTTAGTTTTGTAAGTGAATCTCGAGCCTCGTCATTTAATGTGTGTGGCACACATAAATTTGCGGGAAGGCTGCGTGCATAAAGAGACAGTTTCGATACAGGGAAAAACGGTGAAAACCCGTGAAAGAACTGTAAGGCTTCGTGAAAAACGGTGAGAAACCGTTTCGTAACTGTGGACGTTCGTGATAACGGTATTCTCACACGAGTGTTCATGATCACACACGGGAGATCATGAATGTTCGCGAGGGAGTCAGCAAGGGAATTTGGCAGGAGTGCATATTGAAGACAGTTAGTTCTACATGGCGAATCAAACCAAATTCAAGAGCAATTTCGAAACCGTTTTCAAGGACAGCAAGGCGAAGACATAAAGTCTAGTTTGACAACTTTTTTGTATTCTCTTTGTGTGTGCGTAGGCTTTGATAAATATTGTGTGCTTGTGCGAAGTTGTAATCAATCCTCTCTGAGTGAAGTATTTCTCTATCAACGTATTGACGTGAAAAGAACTTTCTTCCGACCAATTCCTTGTCAAAACATTGCGCAAGGATTCGTGGGAGTGTTCTAGTGCATGCCGTTGCCTTTACGCTTAGTGCGCCCCTCTACAAACACGGACCCTTGGTTAGGGGCTGGCGTTGCCAGGCACCCGAGGACCCTTGAAGGTGACCCCGTGAGGACTACTAAGAGTGAGTTAAAGGGCGAGCATAGAGTTTCTAGATCCCAATAATAGACAACATCCCAGGCAACTCACCTGCTCCCGGGTCATGTTGATGTGGGACTTGCTGGTGAGCTCAGAGTAGATCCGCTGCTCCAGCTGCCGCACCAGCGCCTCATGATACACCACGAAATCCGATATAAACAGCTCTAGATCGACTCTTAATGGGGATACACACACGCAGGAGAGCGACTCGTTATAGAGCGGTGCGCTAGGGCTGTAGAGGTCGGACTGGCAGGCGAGGCCGTCGCAGAAAGCAGGGGCAGTGTATTGGGTGAGGGGGGTCGGGGGGGAGCAGACTTGCGTGTAGTCTGGATTGAATGGCTTGCACAGATCATTGTTGAATAGCCTGGGGTGGGGGGGGGGGGGGGGGGGGGGGGGGGGGGGGGGGCGTGGGAGGGAAACGGGAGGTGGGGAAAGGAATGTGTATTGGGTGAGAAGGGGTCGAGGGGGAGCAGAATTGCGTGTAGGCTGGATTAAATGGCTTGCACAGATCGTTGTTGAAAAGCCTTGGGGGGGGGGGGGGGGGCGGTTTGGGGGGCAGGGGAGGAAATGTTGCAATGAGGAGGGAGGGAAGTTGTGGGGGAGCAGACTTGCGTGCAGTTTGGCATGAATCGCTTGCAGAGATCGTTGTTGAAAAGCCTGCAGGGGGGAGGGGGTGGAACAGAGATGGTGAAACAGAGATGGTGAAACAGTGGGAGAGAAATGGATGATGGATGGTAGGAAGGAGCAAGCATTCGTTCCAAGGGTTCACGGCTAAAGGGCTTGCAACTGTTATCATTGCAATGAAAACGACGATGACGACACATACTGGAGAGAGAGGTTGCTCTTGGTGAGCACGGTGGGCGGCACACTAAAGAGGCCACTCACTGCAGCATGATGTTGTTGCTCTTGGCGAGCATAGCGGGCGGTATGGTGGAGTGGAGAGGCTGTTGTCCAAGAGGGAGAGAGGGCAGCAGGGTAGAGGGAGCGGCACCCCACACTCACTGCAGCGTGATGTTGTTGCTCTTGGCGAGCATAGCGGGCGGTATGGAGGAGAGGGAGTTGTCAAAGAGGGAGAGCGACACGATGCTGGGCAGTGCTGAGAGGTCCGGCAGGGGGCCGCTGAGCTGGTTGCCTGAGAGGAAGCTGGAAGGGTGGATGAAACAGGGGAATGAGGGGAAATGATAATAATTATGGTTTGCTTTTCCCCTTTGGAGGGGAACCAGTCACACTGGGAGCCATGAGACAGATGACTTTGAGACATGGGGGGAGGGAGGCAATGGGAAGGGGAGAAGAGCCGATGGGAAGGAAATGAGAGAATAGAGACAATAAGAAGGAGGCAACATCAGCAAGACATGGGCCTCTTGCTGCAGGCTTATGCTCGCTCTGCTACTGTTATGGCCCTAAATTCTTCTCTTGGACATTGTTAGATAGAGCTTCATTCCACGTTCAGGCTAGGTCTAATTTCCTGTCATCATCCTATGTTGAACATACCCTAGGTTCAGTTGATGTTTCAACCCAGCCTGCTTGTTACCTTGTTGTACCACGATTTTTATATCATACACTTTCTTTCCCGTTCACCACTCGGCTCCTAAATTTCTCCACTTTCCAAATATGCTGTTTCTACCAACTATGCCATATATACCAGACATATCAGGTTGAGGTTGGCGGTTATCCCACTCACACGGATTGCAGATTGGCAGCATTGGTGATTGCTGAAGGGAAGCTCGAGTCAAGATCGTTGTTAGCCAAATTGCTGGCGATGGAGGGAGGGAAGGGTAGAGATGAGGGGACATGAAAAGGGGCAGGAAGAGGGGTCGTGAGACTTGTGGTGCAAGGCATGGGGTGCATGCATGGGGTGCAAGGCATGGGGTGCAAGGCATGGAATGCATGACGTGAGGTGCATGGCATGGGGCACATGGCATGGGGTACATGGCATAGGGTGCATGGCATAGGGTGCATGGTATAGGGTGAATAATACAGGGTGCATGGCATAGGGTGCATGGTATAGGGTGCCTGGTATAGGGTGCATGGTATAGGGTGCATGGTTTTGGGTGCATGGTATAGGGGCACATGGCATGGGGCACATGGCATGGGTGCATGGCATGGGTGCATGGCATGGGTGCATGGCATGGGATGTATGGCATGGGTGCATGGCATGGGTGCATGGCATGGGATGCATGGCATGGGGTGCTTGGCATGGGTGCATGGCATGGGATGTATGGCATGGGTGCATGGCATGGGTGCATGGCATGGGCTGCATGGCATGGGGTGCACGGCATGGGGTGCACGGCATGGGTGCATGGCATGGGGTGCATGGCATGGGGTGCATGGCATGGGGTGCATGGCATGGGGTGCATGGCATGGGGTGCATGGCAAGGGTGCATGGCATGGGGTGCATGGCATGGGGTGCATGGCACGGAGAAAGAGCAGCCAGATGATGGTGACAGTTGATGGTGACAGTTGATGGTGACAGCTTTGTTGACTCGCTGCCATGGCTAAAAAACGTTTCAGCATTACATAAACGCGGCAGAATATGATGCTTGAAGTTCTGCTGGAATGTTATTGAGCCATGTTTAGAAAAGGGGCACTCGCATGGTAGGAAACACAAAGAGAAGAGATGAACTGACAGGTTGACGAGGTTGGGGTGCTGCCAAAACAGAGAACTCCAGATGGACCTTTGAGACGTCTGACATGCAGAGGTTTGGACTTTTCACATGCAGTGAAATGCAAAGAGAGTGAGATGAACTGACAGGTTGACGAGGTTGGGGTGCTGCCAAAAAAGAGAGCCTGGAATGAATCCTTTGAAACTGTTGCTGCTCAGGTCGCTGAGAGGCAATGCGGGAAGGTGGAGGGGAGTCAATGCGGGACGAGGAGGGAGAAGGGAAGGGAAGGGGAAATGGGGGAGTGGGGAAGAGAAGGGAGGTGGGGGAGAGAAGGGAGGTGGGGGAGAGAAACGGTTCTAGCAGGAAGAATTCAGTAGCAGACAGAGTTTGAGAGGGTAGGGTGCTGGGAAGTGGGGGAAGAATGGTGTGGAAGTGGGGAAGTGAATAGAAACCAGACGAGAGGGAAAAGGGGGTGGGAAAGTTCTTTAAAACAGAACAATGCAGATCATGTCAGTATTCTTGATGTGAATTGAATGTGGATTGATGGATGGATGGATGGATGGATGGATGGATGGATGGATGGATGGATGGATGGATGGATGGATGGATGGATGGATGGATGGATGGATGGATGGATGGACGGACGGACGGACGGACGGACGGACGGACGGACGGACGGACGGACGGACGGATGGATGGATGGATGGATGGATGGATGGATGGATGGATGGATGGATGGATGGATGGAAGGATGGGTGCACTGAGAAACAAGACGTACAGGTTTGATAAGTTGTGGGAGTTAGGAAAGGAAGGGAGAGGCTGTTCTGGTAGAGAGCAGTTGCTGAAGAGGCTGTGTAAGGATGGGAGACACATACATGCATGCATGCATTCACACACATGCACATGCGCGCACACACACACATTCGTGCACAAGCAGACTTGGATGTAGTCATCAGATCCACACCATGCATTGCGCACACATACATGAACATAGACACATGATGCATGCACATGGACACATGCACACTCGCAAGGGAAACACATATCCACATGCACATGCACATGCACATGGACACATGCACACTTGCAGGGAAACACATATCACATGCACACGCACATGCACATGCATGTGGTCACATACACACGTGCATGCAAATAGACACACCCACGCATGCACATGCACATATGCTCATTTGGGCGTAGTCACATACAATACCCACATCAACAAACATAGCAAGAATCAAATCAAGCAAGGCAAGAACTATCAGCTGCGCCATCAACCCTGGTCTGCAATAAGTCCAAGTATGAGTTGTTTAAAGAAATATAATAAGTATTACTAGTTTCTGAGCCGAAAAAATGACTCACAAGTCCTTGAGTCGAGAGAAGAACCAGGTGGAAGGGAAGGCTTTTGAAGCGCCTCAAAAGTCGGTTCCTGAGTCGGGAGAACGACTTACAAGTCCTTGAGTCGGGAGGGAGAACGACTTACAAGTCCTTGAGTCGGGAGAACGACTTACAAGTCCTTGAGTTTGGGGAAGAACCAGGTGGAGGGGAAGGGGCGGGTATTATGTTGTTGCTCCAGTAGCTGGATGGTTAGAGAGGAGG